CAAACCTACCAGCGACTCCTCAGAAGGAAGATGGGGCAATCTACTTCCATAGTGATACTGCCTCGGAAACCCAAGGAGGGGTCGCTATGAGTTGGGTTCAACTTGACAGCAGTGAGTTAGAGAGTTAGCCACCATTGTTGCTATCCTTTTCCAAAATATTCCAATACCATTATCATAAACTCAATGCCCTGCAAACAAAAGCTTCTCCTTTCCCCCCTCCCTCCTATCCCTGGTAACCACTAAGAATCTTTGGTTTCTACATATATCGTTTTTGAGAAGAGGCTCTGATTCTGTAGGAAGGTGCTGTGAGGTTGGGTGACAGGTGTCAGCCATATCTAGAAGCAGAATCTTTGATGTGGTGAAAAAATGGGGAATTATTCACTACAGATTGTAAGCAAGCACAAGTAAGCCCATACTTACCTTGCATATTGAGTAATCAATCAACACTGCCCCTGCCATGGGTGCAGATGCCCCTCCGAGGCACCCATTATCTGAGGCCTGGAGCCTCCTGGGCTGCTCTGCACATCTCGCAGGTGGGAACTGGGTGACATTTATTCTCCAAACAAGGAAGTCTGAGGCAGGGGCATTGCCTCCTGTTGTGCTCCAGGGTGAAGGTCTCCACGAAGCAGTAAGAGTCTTCAGGAGCCGCAGACCATTGATTATCCATTTTATATGCACCAGAAGTAGCTTCCAATGGGAAGTAGGACACCACTTTTAGGGGAGCTATGCCCACGACTGACCTTTTTGGGTATTGGCTGCAAGGACGAGTTCCCAGGTTTTAAACTCCTTTCTGATTTTGTTATATAACCGTGTCTCATTCTCCTTTACAGCTTCTTCTCCTTCTATTAGCTTTTCAATGTCCCTATTGAACATCTTAATTTTCTGAAAACGAGATAAAGACATCAATCTGTTTTGTATTCATAGGAAAGATTTAGATCTTTGGTCAGCCCTTTGCAGTGAAGGCAACCAGAGGCTACAAGGAGCCCACCTACCCACTCACTCACTTCATCTTATAGATGAGGCACTCAGATGCTGGAGTGTAAGCTATGATTATGACACAATGCACTTCTCTCATGGACACTGTAGAGGACCACTGACCCAAGCCTGGTAACACGACGTTTTCTCTATATTAATAGGTCATGCCCTCGGAAGGTGCCTGACCTCTTTCACCCACCTAGGCATCTCTTCCTTCTAAACTGTGAAGGATGCCTGAACAGGGAGAGAGCTCCAGGCACTCCTTTCTCCCTCAGGTGGGTATTCTAAACCTGGGAGGCCTCTAGGAGTGCAGTTCCTCAAAGTAACCGCTAGAGGATGCTCACCATGGATGCTGGATTGGAGGGCGGTGGGAATCCTTAAGGTGGAGGGGGCCGGACCACCCAGCAGTGGAGGGAGGGTGGCGTGGGACTGGGTGGTAAGGGATGTAACTCTGGGAACTTCCTCCAAAGGTCAGCCCCCACAGCCAGACCCCCAGCCCTCGTAATCCCAGCGCCGCACGCCTTTACCTTCACTGGGGGACCTACCCTGAACTCAGCCACCCGGAGAGAGTAGTTAGGGATGGAGGAACTGCCTCCGCCCAGGAGGCGTGGTGTGTGGGCGGGCGGTGGAGTATATCCCTTCGAATGCAAGGAAGCCCAGAGCGAGGCGGAGAAACTGTGGCAGAACCCAGTACTTAAGACTTTCTGGAACTATGCCATTCAAGAAAAGGGTGAAATACAATGATTAGAAGAGCTAGGGCGCGAAAAGAAGAAGGAACAGAAGGTGGGACGGGTCATGACTGTAGAAGGAAGTCGGGGGCTGGAAAACGCTGAGAAAATTCTTGCTGTTCACCGCTTCCCCAGTCTCACGCCCTCCCCGCAGAAGATGCTCTTTTTTCAAAGAAGGCAGCGTTCTCCTGTTTCCTTTCTTCCAAATTAAAAAACAAAAAAAGAAATTTGAGAGAAAGAGAGAGGAGAGAGAGAGACAGAGACAGAGACAGAGACAGAGACAGAGAGAGAGAAAGAATGTGGTGACAGGGAAGCCAGTCTTGGAAATGTCCGAGTTTCATGTGGAAATCCTTACTTCAATCAGAAAGAACATTTTATCTGTTTCCTCGCTGGGGATGTCGGTTCCACACTGACGCAGCTCCTCTGTCGCCCTCTTGTGGCTATCCTTGATTTGATTTTCTAATAACGGTAGTGATTTCTGAAGGAAACAATAGCGAACAATTAAGACTGCAGCTTGAAGAACTGAACGGACAAATTTCTTACGTATACAGGTGGAAGCCTATTTAAAAGCATTTAAGGAGATCCAGAATTTCCACTATCGTGTAACACTTAAGATGGAAACCTGTTTAGGGACCCAAAGAAGGCTTTTACATCGACATTTTGCAGTGAATAGACGATTAACCCGTTGCTGTCGAGTCAGTTCCAACTCCTGACAACCCACGTGTGTGAGAGTAGAACTGTGCTCCATAAGGTTTTCAATGGCTGATTTTTCAGAAGTAGATCCAGGTCTTTTTTGCCATGTACCTCTGGATGGACTCAAACCTCCAACCTTTCCATTAGCAGCCAAATACAACAATTACTAGGAGCTCTGGTAGTGTAGTGCCTAAGGCACTTGACTGCTAACCAGAAGGCTGGCGGTTCAAACCCACCAGCCACTCCTCGGAAGGAAGATGGGGCAATCTACTACTGTAGTGATACTGTCTTGGAAGGGGTCGCTATGAGTGGGGTCCGACTAGACAGCACATAACAACAACAATTACTTGTTATCTACAGGTGGTCCCCAACTTAAGACACGGTTCCATTCCTACAACCCTGTCGTGAGTCAGTTCTAAGTTGAATACTTTGAGTTTTGGTGAGTTTTTTTTTAGTTTTCATTTCAAAACATTGCAGTATTTTGAACAATTTTGTAAATAGTAAAATTGAACATATGAGAGTGAAGAGGGAACATCTGTCAATGATAACATCAACAAATTACGTGCTTTGTGTATAGTATATATTACTAAGGAGCTCTGGTAGCATAGTGCCTAAAGCACTTGACTGCTAACGAGAAGACTGGCGGTTCAAACCCACAAACCACTCCTTGGAATGAAGATGGGTCAATCTACTTCCATAGTGATACTGCCTCGGAAAGCCAAGGAGGGGTCGCTATGAGTCAGGTCCGACTTGACGGCACATAACAACAATAACATATATTACTAACAATAAAATGTACAAAAAAACCTGGGATGGTAGTAAGTGAGGTTCATTGTAACTTGAATTTGCTTTTGGGAAAATGCTGCCCTGTTGGTCTTTACTGGCCTGTCTATTCCACACGATGGCAATGAAGTGTTTTTTTTGTTTTTTTTTTTAATTGTTTGGCTGAAAGCTGGTCCTTGGAGGTGGGTGCAGTTCCAGGCTTGAAGGGTGTTGTGGTGCAATACATTACTTGGTATGGCCCTTCCAGCCCAGAAGACTGGGTGGAACTACGTAAATAAGAGGTGCTTTGTGGCCTACTTTGAGGATTGGATAGCTTGTTAGTGATGTAAATAAGGTCCATGGCACGCTTGTTGGGGTGGGACCATGGAAAGAAGGTATATGGAACCCTAAGGTGGGGATTGGCCAGTTTTGTCATTCCATTAGGCTTAAAAATGAGTCCTCCCAGAGACAGAAAGGGGGGATCTCACCACCAGCAAGAAAAAGTGGTCAGGAGTGGAGCATGTCCTTGGATCTGATATCCCTGTGCTGGATCTCCTTGGCAGAGATGGCAGAGAGATGGCAGCAGCAGAAGCAGGAGATTGGCATGAGACAGAGTGGCAAGCTTGCCTGCCCACGGAGTGAGAAAGCTGAGTGCCATTGGGCAGAAGGCTTGCTGGCATTATCCTCATCTCACGTAGCCTTGCTCTGCTAACCTTCCCGCAAACCACTTGGTATTTTAGAATTTGCTTGTTTGTTGGCTTGCTTGGGCAGTATAGTATTTGTCTTATCCAACACATAACTAAGTGAGTTACTTGGCAGCTGCATTTTTTATAACTCACCACCCAACCCAATGTCTCACTTTGATGTGCATGATAAGTTCAGTGGTCAGTCTTCCAGCCAGACAGGGCACCGAGGCTTTTCCTTCCTCCAGAAGAACTCTGAAATAGGACAGGACAGAGCACACATGAGTTCTGGAAGAATGCTGTGCCATCATTTTCCAGTACAGGGCTTTGTAGGTGACTAGGTGAGCTCAGTGCCCCCAATCCCCTAGCAGCAGGTTTTAATGTACAGCATCTGTGATAGGAGACACAGGTTTCTGAAAGCTGAGAGACCTCTTTCTAGTCTTGCTCCCATTCACTGTTTATTAGACTTTATTGTCCTTTTCTGTAAAATGGGAAGAAGCTTACCTGCATTATGTAACTCTTAAAACTTTATAGCACTCAAATCAGAAAGCAAGTGAAAACATTTTGGGAAACCAAAGTGGTCTCTATGCATGGAATTATGCAATACAATTTTGAGTCATCATCATCATTAAAACCCTAGAAAAAATACCTTCTTTAAATTTCTTTAAGTAACCCAAGACATTTAGTAAAAAAATTAAATACAAGGGTAGAGCATGTTCCATCTTATAATTTTTTTTTTTAATAGACAATTTGGTTATAATCCTGGTCAATTCTAGTAGGTGGGGACAGCTTCCAGGGAATCCAACTCCAAGCTCCTTCTATAGAGTCTCACCTGAAATTTGGATGTCTTTGAAAGAAGTTTATTTCTCTCTTGGTCGCCTCTGCTAAGTTCAAGTTGTCCATGATCTCCTGTTGGTCCCGACACCTCACAATCATGTAGCCCTTCTTGAGGTAGTAGGTGAGGTTTTGTACCATGTTCAGGACACTTTTCTCATCACCTTTGTCCACTAGATCTGGTTTGGTGAGGATCCCTGTGAGATGAGTGGAAAAGAGCAGCACACAGGCCAGTTTTCCCCTTTCTCCTAAAGGTAGTTGGAACCTGCTAGATTAAGAGCCCTTTCTTTGTCCAGGACCACCACCAAGGCCTCCCACAACCTTGATTCCCTAGTGCCTAGCCACCTTCCATTCATTCTGTCGTCAACCCTCTTATTTGTGATTTTTTTTTTTTTAAATTCACGTACCCTTCACTCACGATTCAAGATTTGCCTTGTATAATTTATTTAGCAGATGTTTCTTAGGTGTATGCTTTGTGCTCATACAAGGGCACCATTCTCAGAACAGACTAGATCCAGCCACCATTTTCTTGAGAACACCATGTTACAGATTGAATTGTGTCCCCTGAAAATATGTGTTGAGAGCTTAACCCCTGTACCTATTGCTGTGTTTGGAAATAATATTTCTTATGTTAACAAGGTCATACCAGAATATAGTGGGCCCTAAACCTAATCACTTCTGAGTTATACAAAGAGCAGAATGGACATAGAGACACACAGGAGAAAGATAAACACCATATCCAGGACCCCTGTCCAGAAGCAAAGGAATGTTAAGGATTGCTGGCAGTTACTAAAACCAACCAACCAACTAACCAAAAAAATGAAACTCACTGCTGTCGAGTCAGATCCCACTCATAGTGACCCCTCCTTGGGTTTCTGAGGCGGTATCACTACAGAAGTAGATTGCCCAACCTTCCTTCCAAGGAAGGTTGGTGGGTTTGAACAACCAACCTTCAGGTTAGCAGTCAAATGCCTTAGGCACTATTCCACCAGAGCTCTTTACTAGAAGCTGAAATAGACAGCAGTTACTAGAAGCTGAAATAGACAAGAAGGGATCTTCCTCTAGGGCCACACACTGAATTTGAACTTTTAGTCTCCTGTATTGTGAGCAGATAAGCTTCTTTTCTTTAAGGCCACCCACTTGTGGTATTTTTCTTAAGGCAGCATAGGTAACTAAGACACTCCCTTGCTATTGTTTCCTGTCACAGACTCACTCTGTCGCCCTCTGTGGGTACCTCCTCTGGTAGTCTTCTTTTGACCTTCCTCTCCTGCCTCACACCTTTCTACATGCATTGGATGAGATGCTTTGAATTCTGAGCCTTTATTTTTCTTTCTGTTCTTTGAGTGTAAAATTGCTGGCACATTTTTCCCATTTGTTTATATTGGAAACCTGAAAGTAATCATCTGCTATTTTGTTTTAACTTGTGGCTAAGCCTGGACATCTGGTCTACCATTTCCTGACCCTTTCCTGATGCCTCAGTTAAGTAGTGTCTTGTCTTTCTTTCATTCTTTCTTTGTCTCTCTCTCTCTCTGCTTTAATCTTTCCTTTACCAAAAGTTGTCATTCATTTAAAAGCATATCTTTATCCTCACTAATAAGGTTTGTATGAGCACATCTCTAGGTGTTACCCACAGAGCCAAGACGAATCTGAATCTAACTTTGAACATTCCACTGGGAAATGAGAGGAAGGAGGGAAGATAGGCAGCTGAGAAAGCCCTTCCCCTGGAACCAGTGAAAACCAAATCATTGTATTTATTTGGAGAAAAGGTAGTGGTATAATAAAAATTGGGGTTTGTAATTAGGACTCACCCCAGCTAGGGAGAGAGAGACTTCTCATACTCATACATAATACATCATACTCATATCCACATTCATCCTCTCTATTTAAGTACCCTGGTTTGAAATAAAAGATTCAAATTGGGAAATGCACATGCCTCAGTCTGTAGTACCAGCTCATAAGCATCCTTTTATTCTTCAGCTTAATACTAGGCCACAGAGAAGGGCATTGCTATCAACTTTTAGATGCTTTTTTTTTTTTTTTTTCTCTCTTTTTAAATTAATTTGTCCACGTACTTAACAAATACTTAATTAAACACACCACTGTGGTTGCTGGTGTTCTGGTTACCTAGTAGCGCTCTGACAAGAATATACCACAAGTGGGATGGCTTGAACAAACAGGAGTTTATTCTCTCAGTTTGGAGGCTTTAAGTTTGAGTTCAAAGTGCTAGACTCTAGGGGCTGTGTGGAAGCCCCTTGACCTTGGGCTTCAGCTCTGCCTCTTGCTCCCGGCCCACTGAAGCTAGAGGCATCTCTTCTCTCAGGCAGGTACTGGCTGCTGAGGCTAACAAGCCCAAGGTCAACAAATAAAATGGCACAGTCCTGATATTACCAAACCACATGGCAGGCCATTAACTCAAGTCCATTGTAAATCTCAAGGTAGTCAGAGCATGGGAGGCTGCTGAACAACAAGACAGCTACATTCAGGGTCCATGTGTGCCATAAACTAGAGACCATTCTCAAAGGTGTTTCTTATATACGGGAAGTGGACCACATATCAAAAGGCAGCTGCTCAGCTGCTCACAGTAGATTCCACCATGGAGTTGATTACCAGTCTCATCCTGAGAGTACTATATCCAGCTGCCCAGCCACTCAACCACGCCCAGCCAAGTTGACAGGGAAATTAACCACCACAGCTGGGGAGTTGGCAGTGAATGAGACTGCAAAGCCTCTGGTCCCATGAGTATTACCTCCCCCACTCTAGTGGGAAGAAGCTGGGTAAATTAACCTAGTAATAAGTAAGAAACAGAGACATATATCTGATATTGATAAGTGTTATATAGAGAATTAACATGCGGTGATGTGCTAGCCAACAAAGGTAGGCAGAGATAGATGGTGTAACTGTAGGTTGGTGGACAGAGAAGGCCTCCCTTGGAAAGCAACATGAGGGCTGAGATCTGAGATTGGAGGCAACCCAATGAGTTTAGGGAAGATCCTTCCAGGCCCTTAGCTGGGAGTGAGCTGGCATGGCTGAGTCTCATTGGAGAGTAGTAGGCAATGGAGACAGTGATGGGAATCATGGTAACAGAAGCAAGCAGGGGCTAGATCTTCTAGAACTTCACAGTCTGGGTAAAGGAATCTGGGATATACATACATGAAGATGTTATACATTCAGATGAGATCATACTATAGTAGGGTGAGTCTTAATTGAATCTAAGTAGTGTCCTTTTAAGAGAGGAGAAAAAACAAAGAGAGACAGAGGGAAAATGGAGGCAGAGATTGGAGTGATGTCTCTACAAATCAAAGAACTCTAAGGATTGTCAGTAGCCATCAGCAGGCAGAAGAGAGACATAGAATAGAAGCTTCCTTAGAGCCCTCAAAAAGAATTAGCAAGGTTAACATTTTGGTTTTGGAGTTGGCCTCCAGAGCTGTGTGATGATAGTTTCTGTTCTTATAAGCTACCCAGTTTGTGGCACTTTCTTATAACAGCCCAAGGTAACTAATGCAAGGGGTTAGAAAGAGGAGGATGAAGGATTCCCGGATTCTGACAACAAACTGAACCCTGACTGTGAATTAAGAAGACACATGTGTGGTGCATGTGTGCCTCCAGAGTCCACGGCTACTTCTCCACAGAACAAGCACATAAATAACAGCACAGGAAGGGGGGTACCACAACAGTGCTGTACTCCAAGGTCTAAATATATGAGGAGTCTCTCTCTTTCTTTCTATCTTCTGGAAGCTTAATCCCTTTTTCTTACCTATGGTTCTGTCTCCATCAGGGTCCACTTCCTTAGCCATGGTGAGTGCCTCCGTGGTCGCAATATCCACGTTACAGGGCACCACCACCAAGTTGATCGTCTGCTGTCTTTGGATGTATTTCTTGATGAGTGACTTGATCTGATGCAAGAGTATCACATATAGGAAGATCACATTATAGTCATCTGGGAACACAACTAGGCATGTGTGATGTTTAAAAAACAATATGGTCCCAGGGGTCCCAGAGGGTGTCCTATACATCTGTGCTTTTTCTTGGCTTATCCCCTTCTTCTGGAACTTCTGTCCCCACACACCCTGTCCCATTGTTACTGATCTCCTATGTATCATTCAAAGCCCATCTCTGATATTTGTTCTTTCTTGAAGACTCAAATTCCTATGGCCAGGCATGACCTCTCCTTCCTCTCTAGATCTCCCCATGATGCTTCATAGAATCTTTTGTCTCTATGTATTTGCCTATTTTAGACATTTCATGTAAGCTTCAGTAAGCCAGCCCAGGACCAGCAGAAGGTGGGTGTTTGCATACATGGAGCATCCCAGGGGCAGGCTGGGTAAGCAGGCAGGACAGGGGAAACCAGGAAATGAGTGGAACCATTTGGAACAACCAAGGGAGACAAACTTGTCTGTCAGTTTGTCATACTATGGTGGCTTAAGGGTTGCTGTGAGGCTGGAGGCTGTGCCACCAGTGTTTCAAATGTCAGTAGGGTTACCCATGGTGGACAGGTTTCAGTGGAGCTTCCAGACTAAGACAGACTCAGAAGAAGTAAGAGGCCATCCACCTCTCAAAGAGTTGGCCAGTGGAAACCTTATGAGTAGCAGTGAAACACTCTCTGATATGTTACTGGAAAACTTTATGAATAGCCCTGAAACATTGTGTGATATTGTGCTGGAAGATGAGCCTTTCAGGTTGGAAGGCACTCAAAATACAACTGGAAAAGAGCTGCATCCTCAGAGTAGAAACCAAACCAAACTCACTGCCATTGAGTCAGATCTGACTCACAGCGAGCCTTCCTTGGGTTTCCGAGGCAATAACACTATGGAAGTAAATTGCCCAACCTTCCTTCCGAGGAGTGGCTGATGGAGTTGAACCGCCAGCCTTCTGTTTAGCAGTCAAATGCCTTAGGCACTACACCACCAGTAGAGCTGACCTTAATGATAGGGATAGAATAAAGCTTTTGGGACCTCCATTTGCTGATGTGGCATGTCAAGCACCCATCAATAATCAGAACATGTGATGTATGAAATATGAAACTAGGAAAATTAGAAGTTTTCAAAACTTAAATGGAACCCATAAAGATCATTATCCTAGGCATTGTTGTTGTTGATGCTATGTGCTATCAAGATGGACCTGACTTATAGCTGCCCCTCTTTGGGTTTCTGAGGCAGTATCACTATGGAAGTAGATTGCCCCCTCTTTCTTCCAAGGAGTGGCTGGTGGATTTGAACCGTCAGCCTTCTGGTTAGCAGTCAAGTGCCTTAGGTACTACACTACCAGAGCTCCCATCCTAGGCATTAGTAAGCTGAAATGGACCAGTTTTGGCCATTTTGAATCAGGTGATCATATGATCTACTGTGCCCAAAATGAAAAATTGAAGAAGAATGGCATGGTATTCATTGTAACAAAGAGTGTATCAAGATCTATCCTGAAGTACAATGCTGTCAGTGATAGGATAATATCCATACACTTACAAGGAAGACCAGTTAATACTACTATTATTCAAATCTATGCACCAACTACCAAAGCCAAAGGTGAGGAAATTGAAGATTTTTACCAACTTCTGCGATCTGAAATTGACCGACCATGCAATCAAGATGTGCTGATTATCACTGGTGACCGGAATGCAAAAGTTGGAAACAAAGAAGAATCACCAGTAGTTGGAAAATATGGCTATTTGGTGATAGAAATAACGCTGGAGATTGCATGATAGACTTTTGTAAGACCAATGACTTATTCATTGCAAATACCTTTTTTCAACAACATAAGTGATGGCTCTACATGTGGACTTCACCAGATGCAATACACAGGAATCAGATTGACTACATTTGTGGCAAGAGACAATGGAGAAGTTCAATATCTTTGGCCAAAACAAGGCCAGGAGCTGGGGGAATAGACCATCAACTGCTCATATACAAGCTGAAGTTGAAGACAATTAAAACAAGTACATGAGCGCCAAAATATGACCTTGGTAACATCTCTCCTGATTTTAGAGACCCTTTAAAGAATAGATTTGATGTATTGAACACCAGTGACCGAAAACCAGAGGAATTGTGAGATGACATCAAGAACATCATCTATCAAGAAAGCAAGAGGTCATTAAAAAGACAAGAAAGGAAGAAAAGACAAAAATAGATGTCAGAAGAGACTCTGAAACTTGCCCTTGAACAGAGAGTAGCTAAAGCAAATGGAAGAATCAACAAGATAAAAGAGCTGAACAGAAGATTTCAAAGAGCAACTTGAGAAGACTAAGTCAATTATAATGAAATGTGCAAAGATATGGAGTTGGAAAACCAAAAGAGAAGAACATGCCAGACATTTCTCAAGCTGAAAGAAATGAGGAAAAAAAAATTAAGCATTGAGTTGCAGTATTAAAAGACTGCATGGGCAATATGTTGAATGATGTAGGAATTATCAAAAGAAGATGGATGGAATACAGAGTCATTATGCCAAAAAGAATTGGTAGATGACCATCCATTTCAAGGGGTGGCATATGATCAAGAACCAATGATACTGAAGGAAAAAGTTTAAGCTGCACTCAAGGAACTGGAGAAAAACAGGCTCCAGGAATTGACAGAATATCCATTGAGATGTTTCAACAAATGGGTGGTGCTCTGGAGGCACACACTTGGTTATGCCAAGAGATTTGGAAGACAGCCACCTGGCCAACTGACTGGAAGAGATTCATATTTGTACCCATAAAGAAAGGTGATCCCACAGAATGTGGCAATTATTGAACAATATCATTGATATCATTGTTGTTGTTAAGTGCCATCTAGTCGGACTCGACTCATAGTGATCCCTCCTTGGGTTTCCAAGGCAGTATCACTACAGAAGTAGATTGCCCCATCTTCCTTCCGAAGAGTGGCTGGTGGGTTTGAACTGCCAGCCTTCTGGTTAACAGTCAAGTACCTTGGGCACTAAGCTACCAGAGCTCCCACTGATATCATATGCAAGTAAAATCTTACTGAAGATAATTCAAAAAACGGTCGCAGCAGTATATTGACATAGAACTTCCAGAAATGCAAGCTGGATTCAGAAGGGGATGTGGAGCAAGAGGTATCAAAGCTGATGTCAGATGGATCTTGGCTGAAAGCAAAGAATACCAGAAAGATGTTTACTTGTGTTTTATTGACTATGCAAAGACATTTGATTATGTGTTATTTGGTATGATTTGGTAGGTTATTGGATCTGGGAATGCTCAAAAAATTTTCCCATATAAATTAATGGTAATTTTTTCTTTGCTTTACTTTATACCAGTTCTGGTGGCATAGTGCCTAAGGCATTTGAATGCTAACCAGAAGGCTGGCAGTTCAAACCCACCAGCCACTCCTCAGAAGGAAGGTTGGGCAATCTACATCCATAGATGCAACCTGGGCAGGGCCAAGGTTTGCCTCTGGGAAGACTCAAAGATGGTGACGAGTTTGAGAAAAGACTCACATGCAAACAACAAAGCCAGAAAGGCACACAAGGTGAGGAAGTTTTGCCTCTTTGATTGAGGAATCCCCAAAACAGTTTGGGATTCAAGAGCAAGGGTCAAAGTTCTGGGAAACTGGGAGGAGGCTATTCCTTCTCACAAAGAACTGGGGTATTTCCAACTATAACTTCCTTGTTATTAGAGATTTGGAGCCTTTCAGCCTTTTGGATGGGGCATGACAGTGAGGGTGTCAGGGCTAAGAGGTACTGGATGCCAGCAACTGAAGAAAAATGGCCTCCAGGACAGAGGAGATGAGCCTTGGAAGGCGGGTAGAGAAGGAATGGAGAGAGAGGGAGGTATCTGGAATGGATTTCCAGGGCTGCTCTTGACCCTGATTCCTCTTCTCCTTTAGCAATCTTATCCTCATTCCTTCCCTCCACCCCCCAGCCTCTTACAACCACAAACTAGGGCACTTTCCCCTTTTCCTCAACAATTCCTAGCTGTATCTATCCTCTCCTGAAGTTTGCTCTAGAAAACATACTTTTCCTTCTCCTCTTGAAGGTAGTCCTTAAGTTGGGGAAGGTCAGATAGGAAGGTGAACACATAATTTGGTCAAAAGCATTAAAGTAAAAATTAAAATTTATAAAAGCTGACCAAGAAGTCAGTTAGTTGAGAAGACTATTTCGTCAAAAATGAATAAACCCATTGGCATGGAGTCAATTCCAACTCATAGCAATCCTATAGGACAGAGTAGAACTGCCCCATAGGGTTTCCAAAGCTGAAATCTTTACAGAAGCATACTGCCACATTTTTCTCCTGTGGAGTGGCTGTTGGATTCAAACTACTGACCTTTTACCTTTTGGTTAGCAGCTAAGTCCTTAACTACTGTGTCACAAGGGCTCCTCTGAAAATGAATAGTTGCAAAACAAAACAAAACAAACCAGTTGCCTGCTATTGAGCAATTTGAGGTTGACTGACTCATGAAGACCCTATGGTGGCATGTCTCACTGGGTACACTTTACTTGTTTACATGACCTACAAGCTCAAATTAGAAACTCAGTATGAAGCCTCTGCTCTGAGTAGTCCTGACCCAGACCCCCTCCAATCACTTGGAGCAAAGGCTGAGAGAGGTGCCCATGAGTCCTTAGGGCTCCAAGCAGTGACTTCCAATGTTCCCTTAACTTCAGCTTAGCCTGTTCTCAAGTTCCAGAAAGGCTCACCTGCAGTCCAATGTCCAGAGGCTGATTTCCCACAGCCATCCTAGTGATGCCAGGAAGATCAATGAGGGTCAGGTCCGGAACTTCCAGGGAAGTGATCTCCAAATTAATGAGCTCCTGGCTAATGCCCACACCATGCCCAGCAATGGCATTCTGGGCTATGGAGGCCAGGATAGGAGAAACCCAGAGTCAGAGAGGAAACAAACTCAAAAAACCGTACTCACTGCCATTGAGTCACTTCCGACTCATAGCAACCCCCATTGGTTTGCCAAGGCTGTAAATCTTTATGGAAGTAGATCGCTCAGTCTTCCTTCCATGGAGCAGCTGGTGGGTTTGAACTACTGACCTTCCAGTTAGCAGTCAAGTTCCTTATCCACTACACCACCAGAGCTCCTTAGAGAGAAAATAATTGTTATTTAAGATAAGTGGTTAATATTTTCAGGGTACATTTTGTAGAAGACTACAGAGTCATCTTGGAGGCTACCAAGTTGGCTGTTTAGTGTGTAAGTAGTCTGCACACACACCACACATACTCTCAAAAAGAACAGAAGAAATCATACCCATATGTTAACAGTGGGATTATTAATGGGTTCTACTTTTGTTTTGGTAGCTCTGGTAGCATAGTGCCTAAGGAACTTGACTGCTAACCAGAAGGCTGGTGGTTCAAACCTACCAGCTACTCCTCGGAAGGAAGATGGGGCAATCTACTTCCGTAGTGATACTGCCTCAGAAACCCAAGGAGAGGTCACTATGAGTCGGGTCTGACTTGATGGCATATAACAACAACAACTTTTCTTTTTATGTTTTTCAATATTTTCTAATGGGTGTTCTACTGGTTTTAAAATGTGTCCACACATTCTTTAATAGCCCGTCCTCCAAAAGATGGAAACTTATTCCTCTCCCCTTCAGTGTCTACTGGATATAAGGATTTGCTTCTAACAGAGTGTCCTTGAAGTGATAGATTGTGACTAAGTCATAATAGATATCATGACCTCCTCCTTGCTTTCTGTTGGATGGCTTCTTCTAGGGGAAGCTACCTGTCACATCATGAGGACTCTCGAGTTGTCATATGGAGAATCATAAACTATGCATATATAGGGGCAAGATGTCACTATTTTGGAAGGGATCCTCTGTGTGGGCCAGGAGGATACACTGAGTCCTGCAGTAGACTGAACATAAAATAATGTATGGTCTACTGTCAAACATTTGGATAGTTTCCAGTGTGGCACTATTATGATAGTGCTGCTATGAACATTCTAGCATCTGTCTTTTGGTAAACATTTGTTTGAGTGTATACCAAAGAAAGGGGTGGCTGGGCCAGAGGGTGTGCATGTCTTCTGCTTTCATAGATATTGCCAAACAGCTTTCCATATTGGTTGCACCCATTCACTCTCATACCAGTAGGGGATAGAAGTTCTAGCCTGCTTTTCTAAAGATGTCTTGGCTTTAGTTTGGTCATTTTTCACCTGTACATGGAACCTTTCCTAAGCTCACATCCAGGGTGTGCCAGTGCTCTGTTAGGCTCAGGTCACTGGGTGCATGCTGCCTGCCTGGCCTGTTCCCACGGAGCTCACACTTAGAGAGGATCAGAAGTGCCACAAGATGTGTTGGTGGCTCCAGGATAGGGATAAGATAGGTGTCGTGGGCATGCAGGGGTGCAGATCTTTGAAAATTGGAAGCTAGGAGACTGCCCAATTTAGGGCCTCAGTCCTTCATGTGTGAGGGGTGAGAACTAGAATTGAGGGCAGGATATCTCTATTTTGGAAGGAATCCCTCAGGCAAGCCATTTGAAGCTTGCAGACATGGGATTCTTGGGGAAGCACCAAGCCTAGGAAGTCGTCCAAAGGCCCCATGTTCTTGTATTCAGTTTATAATTTAATAATGCAATAAATAAATAAATAAATAAATAAACCGGTCTCCATAGAACACGGAGTTCATTGCTATGGAGATTCTTATACGTTAAGGGTTATGTTTTTGCCTCTCCTGGCTGAGATCAGGCTCCCAGGTGGTACAAATGGTTTGCACTCAACTACTAACCAAAAGGTTCGTGGTTCAAACCCACCCAGCAATGCTATGGAAGAAGGACCTAGTGGTCTGCTTTTGAAAACAGCCAAGAAAATCCTATGGAGGAGTTCTACTGTGTCATATGATTTTGAAGTGAGTTGGAATTGACCCTATGGCAACAGGTTTATTTATTTATTTATTTAAACCAAGACCAGAAAGGGCAGTGAAAGCAGAGGGGCAGGGGCCTGGTAGGAGGGATGAGCAAGTGACCACCAGAGGGTGGGAGCACTATGGGAGAGAAGTGAATGTAGTTTCCAGGAGCAATTGACCTTTTTTTTTTTTCTTTTTTTTAAAATTCTGCAGTTTCCTATTATTAATCTTAAACCTTGGTAAACTTTGCTCAGCAGCAAAGTGTTAGCTGTACTTCAGAAATTAAGGGTGAGTGGTGCCCATGTTTGTGGGGAGCTGCCTGGAGATGGAGCCACAAGGCCACAATTAGAGCAGTGAGACAGAAAGACAAGTGATGACCAGGATAGTTGGGTCTGGCCCAGGATTAGGGTTAAGGCCTATCCAGGGAGGCTTCCTGGAGGAAGGGGCATTAAACTAAGACCCCAAAGGATGAGTAGGAATCAGGCATGTGAAGAGGAGGAGGAATTATGCAAGGCACAGAGAGTAGCATGTGGAAAAACCTAGAAGGCAGAGGATCACATTCTTTGTGGAACTGAAATCCGTCTGCATGTTGGACTCTGGAGCTGGGAACGGAGGGTGGAGAGGATGTGGATGAGGTTCTGGGGGTGGGGACCAGACTTTACCCTGAGGTGGGGTAGCATGTGAAGACTTCAGTTGGGAGCTGACTTTGTGAGGGTTGAATTGGACAAGGATCTGGAGGGGCAGTGAATGTGACCCAGACTGAGCAGTGATGTTCGGCTGAAAAAACAAAAACTAAACCAGTTGCCATTGAGTTGACTCCAACTCATGGTGACTCCATGTGTGTCAGAGCAGAACTGTACTTCATAGGGTTTTCAATGGCTGATTTTACAGAAGTAGATCATGAGGCCTTTCTTTCAAGGCACCTCTGGACTTGAACCACCAACTTTTAAGGTAGCAGGTGAGTGTATTAACTGTACCACTCAGGCATTTTGCCATGCAAGAAGTGCAGATATTTTGGAGGTTGAGCCACATTCCCCACCCTCTCCCATGATCTCCACCAGGGGAAGAATGCAATGAAGAGAGGTAGAAGGAGCTGGGGGACAGGATAGGAAGCCAGCCACAAAATAGAGCCAGGAGAGATCTGCAGGAGCCCTACCTTCGTAAATAGCCTGCTCCACCTTTGTGGGGTCCCGCAGCTGGAATTCCATGTTTTGATAACTGATTTTTCCTCTCCACCCATTCTTACATGTTTTCAGTTTCAGCACCAGTGGACACCTGGTGACAATACCTGAGAGAGAATTTCCCAAACATTGTAAATGTCATGTTAAAAAGTGTCACAGGTGCCTTTTACTTTTACCTCCCAGGACTTCTCCACTGTCCCCACAGGATGTGTCTGCACTTCCTGGTCCTGTCTAGGGCCCTTGGTAACTGCAGGAGGGTCTGGATTGGGCAGGTGAGCATAAGGCTCGGGGACCAACTGTGGTTCTTGGGAAGCCTTTGCTGCTGTTGCAAGTGTTCCACATGAGGAGTTGTCGCTGGTCGCCTCTCTGCTGGTCATGAACAGTGGTCTCTACCACGCTTTCTGTAGTGATTTATGCTGATGTTGAAGCCCTGATGCACTTCAGAGCCCTCAGCGCCCCTGGGGCACAGGACCTGCATTGTGTAGGGGTGCCACTTTGGGAAGTGGAGCAAATGGAAATATGCAACAGGAGACCTGCCTAAGTGTATCTAACACCCACACACCCTGCACTCTGGATTGAAGGAGGTGGGGCTAGAAATCCCAAAGAAGGGGTCTAAGGGTATGATAAAAGTGATATATGTGGAAGCACCCAGCAGGGAGGTAGGGACCATCTCACTGGCCTAGTGCCCCAGGAGTTCTTTGGTTTTGGATCATCAAGATACAGCTTTTTGTGAAGCCAGAGTCCTGGGGTGGTTCAAACTAGTGCATTAACCGTTTGCACCCCAGGGATTCCACGCTCTTATAAAGACCACTACAAAGAAATAACAAAGTCACTACTAGGACCTTGACTGGCACAGGGAGTGGTGGGTTGCTTAGATGTGAATAGTGAATAAGAAAACAGAAGTCAGAGAAGGACATCCAGGTCCCTCCTGGTCACCCCTTGTACTCCTGATCATAAGCCACCTAGGACATTGAGGAGGTGCCCTCTTGGGCTCCCTCCCTGGGACTAGTATCTGAAGCTGGTTGTTATCCAAAAGATAGTTTGATGCCACTTGCTATCGAGCAGAGTTGCTTACCATTGCCCCTGGGCAGGGAGACACCTGTCAGAGCTTCTAGTACTGAACTCTTGCCTGAGTTCTGGTCTCCAATGACAGCAATGGCAGGCAGCGCCAGGTCCTGCTCCACGCCCAGGGCCCTCAGAGAGTCGATGAGGTCGATGTAGGGGCGCACCTTCTCCTCATACTGGCTGCTCAGGCAGCTCTTGACTGCCTGCGGAAGGCAGACAAACCTCACCACCCTAGTTTCAGGTTCATTGGTTTTTTCCCAGAGGTTCCCGTCCTTGTTGGGAACTGTTGGCAGAATATGCACATCTATGCATTTTAGGTGGAGCAAACAGTTAAGCATTTGACTTCTTACCAAAAGGTTGGCAGTTTCAACTCACCCAGAGGAGCCTTGGAAGAAAGGCCTAGCAATCTATTCCCAAAAGGTCACAGCCTTGACCCTATGGAGCGCAATTCTACTCTGACACACATGGGGTCTTGATGAGTTGGAATAGACTCAATGGAATTTTTTTTTTTTTGGATGTTGTATTGCAGACCAGGGCTGGGGAGAAATGGATCAGGATATGCCTTAAGGGAGGGCCTGTGTTCTGTTCATACTGGGGGTGTCCTCGGGAGAAGGAAGTATGTGGCTGGGGTGGAGAAGGAAGTGTCTCCCAGAGGAGGGGCTGGAGGTGCATCTTTGCTTCTGGAGCAAGAACTGGGAGAAGGCACCAAGAGGTGGCTGGGTTGTCAGAAGAGGCACCGGACCCTGGGCTTGAAGAATTGGGAGAGGATGGAGAGTGGATGGTACATTGGCTTTGGTGACAGCAGGTATAAAGCTAAAGGAAAAGCTTTCAGGAAAGAGCCCCAGAATGTGTTTTGGGAAGATGGTGTGTTGTACACCCTCGCAACTCTTACCCACACTCCCTGATCAGAAGCCTTGGGTCTAGAACATTCCCTGATAATGGAGGTTGGGAACTGAGCCTCCCTCTGACCTGGTTTCCTTCCTGGCAATCCTGGGCCTTGGCACAACAACATGGAACCCTGGTCCCAGGTCTCAGAGGTGAGTGCTGCTGCAGAGACTGTGTGTGCTCCTGGTATTTGTTGGAAATGACCAGGAGAGCTGTATTTGTTGGAAATGACCAGGAGAGCTGGCGGACAGAGCTGTGCATCAAGGTTGGGTCCATTTGCTGGCTTTATCATCTTGGTGGGCTGACCCTACAGCTACTCACTGGTGCTTATCTGGTTGGTGGCTAGAACATGTCCTTCTTGAACACCTCCATGTGACTAACCTTTGCTTTTGGCTGGCTCTTGTTCTCTCCTAATTGCATGCTGGCGAACTGTTGGTTCAACTCCATTGAGGTGAAGAGCACCGTGAGGTCTCCTTGCTGGTTTTGAGGAAAGATCTTTTGTTTTGGTTCTGTGCCAAATGATGGCTGTGGATGTTGTTGTAGGAAATTCATTTCTTTTTTGAGATGATGTTGGGAAGATAATGGATTTTGCTTCCTGTATGGCCAAGACTTATGACTTAGGCATTAACTACTGCCCAACGATGGTGGGTGCTTTCCCTATTGCTCTGTGCTTCCAATCTCATGGAGACCTCTGCAAAGACCTGAAATGGGAGAGCATCCTAAAGGTCACCAAGAAGTCCTTTCCCAGGCTCCATGTTTGCCACCCAGCTCTTGATTCAACCCAATATGACCTAAACCTGCCCACACATAGGAGAAACCAGTAGCCTAGCACAGGTATCCATATCTATAGGAGTGTCTCTTGGCAACAAACAGACCACAAGTGAGGATCTCTGTGTGGTGTGAGGGCTTGGGGAAAAGGGGCCATTTTGAGATACAGAAGGCATCATGCATGGGCGAGAAGAAACCAACTTCATAGAATTCACATCGGGACAGAGACACAGTGTGGACATATCTGGAGGGAATCAGGGTGAGCAGAATATGTGCTGGATCTGGGAGAGGAAAGTACAGGGAAACAGGCAAGGTTGCCAGTGGCACAGGCACCAGCAGAATGAGGAGGGAGCTGGAGAAGGGGGATAAAACAACTCACCACTAGTGAATACTAGTCATTTGGGTTGAGGGCCCACATAAAAGTGAAGATATGTGGGGTGATTGTTGGAGATGCTGGACTCTGGGCAGTCCTCGATTGAGTCTGGGCAAGAGCTGGGTAATCAGCTGAGTGCACCATTATAGCACTGGGCTTACACTAGTGAATTGTGGCTGGAGAGATATTTCTCCTCTACCAAGCATACCTTTCCAGTTACTAGGAGTGAACTCTCTTCATGTCCCCCCCCCAATCCAGGGACTAGAAGTTCATACCTGGTCACCCCCAACTCACCTGGTTCCTCAGCAGCCTAACTACCAGTCTCAATGTACTGCAAGCAGGCAGAGCCAGTATCTGCAGCTCTGTATCCACGAGCCTGTGTCATTGACAGGTCTTAGTGCCACAGAACACAAGATATGCAACACTGCTGCCTCCTGGAACACCCGGCGCCCTTCTGGGAATGTGCAGCTGATTATCCAGCCCCCTGCTACCTCCACAGGCACGTGCTCTTCATATCATGCCACAGCCACCTGCTGGCAGTGCTGCCAGCTGACCATAATTAACCAGCCCTTACTCCTTTTTAAATTATTTTTTTCTTTTTATATTTTGCCTTTTCCTTTTTCCTCCTTTTCTTCTTTTTCATTTCTTCCTCTTCTTTTATTTTCACCAATCTTTCTTTTCATTCACACCTTTTTATTATTTTAGTATTATTTTATTATTTTTCTCTCTGCCCCATCCAGTGGGAGGAGAACATTAATTCCCCACTAGTCAGACATATATGCTACACCTACCACCTCCCACTTCACCCAATGGGCAAGCACCACTACCTGCTCCTGCATTTCTGCATTAATGACAGATGGTGGACAACACATGCTCTTCCCCTCTGCACCTCCTCTTCTTAACCAACAGAGACCCCAGTCTGCAAAGCTAGCAACCAAAGAAGCATGACTGCTCTATCTGCCCAAATGTACTGAAACAAAGCCAAACAAAAAACCAGGAAGAAACAAATCAACACAAGATCAACAAATGAAAACCACAACCCCAAAATGTCTTTGGGACAGCAGACAACCTCAATTCAAACAAAGAAACAAGACAATATAGCACAAGCAGATAACCAAAATAAACAACTAGAAAACTCCCTGAGGAAGAATAGGTAATAGAATTACCTGATAAGGAATTCAAAGATATATATATCTTCCAAGAGCTCAAGGAAATGACAAATAAAATTAAGGAAACTACAGACAATATCCTAGAAGAATTCAGGGACACAATACAAGAGCAAAATGGCAAAACAAATAGACAAATAGAAATCATACAAAAACAGCTATTAGAAATCCAGAAAATTAATACAAAAGTTACAGAGATAGATAATACTTTGGAAGGACAAAAGAGTAGAATTGGGAGCAACTGAAGAACAGATTAAAACAATCAAACAAACAAAAAACACTGAGCTCTGGTGGCATAGTGGGAGCTCTAGTGGTGTAGCACCTAAAACATCTGACTGCTAACCAGAAGGCTAGTGGTTCAAGACCACTAGCCACTCCTAGGAAGGAAGATTGGGCAATCTACTTCTGTAAAGATACTGCCTTGGAAGCCCAAGAAGGGGTCACTATGAGTCAAATCAACTCGACGACAGTGAGTTTTTTAGAGTTTGTCATTGAAGTCATTCCAACTTAGTAACTTCCATTGGGTTTCCAAGGCTGTAAATCTTTCTGGAAGTAAATTCCCCCATCTTCCTCCCAAAGGGCAGCTGGTGGGTTTGAACCACTCACTTTCTGGTTAGCAGCCAAATGCCTTATCCACCATGCCACCAGAGCTCCTTGAAGAACAAATTGCCAACTAGAAAACAAATCCTTTGACATTAGTTTGTATAAGGAAAAATCATTAAAAAGAATGAAGAAAAATGAAGAAAGCCTAAGAATCATGTTGGATCATATTCAGAGAAATAATCTATGTGTGATTGTAATTCCAGAACTAAAACAAAGTCACTGTTACTGAATCAATTTTGACTGATAGCAACTCTATCGGATGGAGTAGAAATGTCCCATAGGGTTTTCAAGGCTGTAGATCTTTATGGAAGCAGATGGCCTCATCTTTCTTCGAGAACAGGAGGAAGAAAAGAAAAGAAAAGGGGGTGGGGGGAAGCAGGAAAAATTGTTGAAGACTTGCTAGCAGAAAACTTCCCCAATAACATGAAAGATGAAATGATATCCATCCAAGAAGCTCCATGAACCCCATACAAGATAGACCCTAAAAGAAAGTGACCAAGACATCATAATAAAACTTTCCAAAACCAATAATGGAGGAAGAATCTTGAGAGCAGTTCAGGAAAAATGAAAAGTTACCTAAATAGGGCAACCAGTAAGATTAAGCTCTGATTTCTAAGCAGGAACCATACAGGCAAGAAAGCAATGGAATGACATATATAAAACATGGAAAGAAAAAAAAAAAATGTCAACCAAGAATTATATATCCAGCAAAACTGTCCCTCAAATATAATGGTGAAATTAGGACATTTCCTGATAAACAGAAATTAAGGAATTTGAAAAAGCCAGACCAACTTTCAAGAAATGCTAAAGGTAGTCCTTTGCACAGAAAACCAACAATGAAAGACAACAACCCAAGATTAAGACACATAAGAACATCACCCAGAAACCAACCAACAAAAAGAATTCCCAAAATTAATATAAGCTTACAAGACTGAATATAGAGAACTAGAGGTGTCAACCTGTACATGACAACAACTACAAAGCAAGAAGAGAAGATAAATGGTATAATTACAGAACTTCCAAATGGAGAGGAAGTCAGGGCAATACCAATATAGAGTAGACTGTTTCGAACTTAAATCAAAACCAAACAAACCTCACTGCTATAAAGCCAGATCTGACTCATAGCGACCCCTCCTTGAGTTTCTGAGGCAGTATCGCTATGGAAGTAGACTGCCCAGTCTTCCTTCCGAGGACTTTCAAACTTAGGAAGATAAAAATTAACTACAAGTTAACCACAGAGAAAATGGATAAGCCTTTTAACCAAAATGAGAAAGAAGAAAATCACAAGGACTTAGTAAACACAACATCAACACCAATGAAGAAAATGAAAAGAAAGTCCAATAAAAAAATGAACTCAGCACAGAAAAATATTTGGAACAAAGAAACCATCAACATCACAATAAAAAACATAAAAGAATGACAACAGTAAATTAATACACATAATTAATTACATTGAATATGAATTAATTAAATGCATGAGATAAGAGCAAGAGAGTGGCAGAATGGATAAGAAAACAAGATCCATCAATATGCCACCTACAAGAGACTCACCTTAGAGACAAAGATAAAAAATTAAAAATCAAAGGAGAGGGGAAAAAAATCAAGCTAATGGTAACCAAAAAAGATCTGGAATGGTAATTTTAATTTCTGATAAAATAGACTTCAAGGTGAAAACCAGCCTAAAGAACAAGGAAGGACATTATATAATGATAAAAGGGTCAATCCAGCAAGAGGACATTGCCATAATAAATATTCATGCATCCAATTAAAGGGCTCCAAAATATGTAAAGCAAACATTAACAGAATTGAAAAGAGAAATTGACAATTCCATAATAGTACAAGAAACTTTATCATATCCCTTTCAATGAAGAACAGGACAATTAGAAAAGAACTCATCAAAGATACGGAAGATCTCAACAATATTATCAACCAATTTGATCTCATGGACATAGACAGAATCCTCTACCCAACAAAAAAGCAATACACATTCTTTTCCAGTGCACATGGGTCATTCTCCAGAATAGCCCATATATTAGGTCACAAAGCAAACATCAATAATTTTTTTTTCTGCTTGCAGGCCCAGTGACTCACTCTTTCAAGATGTTTGGCTGTGGTTAAGAACTTACTGTAACTTTGTCCTGTTAGCTCTATTATGATCTATGGACATTCTTATAGCAAATATAAATACTTATGTAGAAATATAATCTGTCAAACTTCTATATAGTCATGGTTATATTCCCTTTTGCCTAGGCATGCCTGATCATTTAGCCTGTTAACCTATGTATTCACCTATAAATTAACATTTGTTACTGCTGATTATGCAGTATTGCATTGTAAAAGTGTTTACCCTTGTTATCTGTATCTCTTATGCACCTCTCCCTGTCTTCCTTTTCCTTAGTGTTATTGTGTTGGTCACTTGATTTTGGTATACTGTCTTTCCCTTAATCCAAATCAATACTTGTCTCTTACCTGTTTAGCAGTTTTCCCTCCCTTTCTTGGTAACCAACAAAGAAAGTTTCCTTCCATACATAAACTTTTCCTTGACTATTTGAAATAGTGGACTAATACAATATTTGTCCTTCTGTGATTGACTTATTTCTCTAAGAATAATGTCGTCCATGTTCATCCACATTACAAGGTGTTTTGTGGATTCTTCTTCATGCTTTACTGTTGCATAGAATTCTGTTGTGTGTAAGTACCATAGTT